ATACATTAAAAAGAAGAAAAAATAAGAGAATTACTTAATTTCTCTTTTAAGTACTTAATTTCTAATATTGAAATAAATTATGAATTGCTTGTAGTGGTGCTGATGAATTAACAACTCACATAATGATCGATCAATCATGGGACAATTGGCCAAGAAAACAACGATAGTGAATATACATATATATATATTAATATTCTTCTCATTTGTTTGTAATTGTAGGGTAACCTCACTTTTTTAGATCTACCTGTGAAGCTTTACGTTAGAATTAATTAACTTATTTGAAATAGACTCTTTCAACATCCAAAATCAATTTTAGTCCAATGTACGGATCATGACACATGCATAAAAAAATGTAATTAAAGGTATCCCATTTGCCAAATACAATTAATCCTAACCCACAATTCTCCAATCCCATTGCATCTAACGTATGTATGTTACTTCAAATGTGGGCACTGCTTTCGTTTTGATGTTGAAACATCACCACTAATACGAGAAACCCATATAGGGCAATTGGATATGATTCTATACCTGCCATCGAGACCCTCAGCCATCCCTTTGGCTAAATACACTATTCTAAATCTAGGTCAAACACTATCAAACAATACTTTTCATAGGCTACATGAAAATATATATATATATATATATATATTAACATGGTCAATAATGTTATTAGCTTTTGATTTTCCAACTTTGGTCCATTAATTATTGTCCTAATTATCCAATATCTTTCTCTTTTTTTTTTTTACACTTACACAAAGGTTAATTTAATAGTGTATGGAGGAGTCATAAGCCATAAACCATGATTAAGGAATAATTATATATATCATTGATTAATTAGATCCCTTATAGCTTTGACAAGGTTTTCAAGCTTATTGGCTGTTTATAAGTCAGTGGAAAGGAACATATTTTGCTTTTAAACTAACAAAAAAAAAGTTGCGTTTGGACAAGAAAAATGGTAGAATAATACTCTTAATTAATCAGCTTTTGGAAAGAATATTAATTAAAAATTTAATAAATAACTGGAATATTAGTACATACTACCAAAACTTTTTTTACAAAGCTGAATTCCGATTCCTCCCGTCATCAACTTTATTTTTTGCTGAGTCAACTCCGAATTTATTCATCCAGTTGGAACTAATTTAGGTGTAGAAAATTTTATTTTTTTAGTGCATTCTTAACATTTTTTTAATTCTATTATATCTTTATGTAAAATATTTTCTGTGTACCCAATGAGATGATAATTTGACTTTTCAGGTTAATTTTTTAGGATAGCCATAAAAAAAAAAAAAATTATCCATATTTGCTTATTGTCTTCCTTTGGCAATTGGGGAAATGAGAATCGTATTGACTTGCATACAACTTAATTGGTTAAGTTAAAAAAAAATTGATATTATTAATATTAAGGTTCCTTTGACAGAAGTCACAAAATTGGGAGAGCATATATCTTTTGGTTGATCAACGCTATAAGGAAAAATAAAATAAAAAATAAAAAAAGGGGAAACCTAGGAAAGATCTAGAAATATTTAACAATGACAAGACATAAATATTGTGAGCAGCTGAACCTTTTAATCATTCCCTCGATATGTTATTGTATAGAAATTTTGTATGAAAATATTTTTTTTAAATTAACATATGTTATTTCTATTTAAATTATGTGAAGTAATTATATTATTAAAAAAAATTAATCATTTATCATATATTATATGTAAAATCTATTGAAATAAGTATTAATCATTTAATTATCAAATATGATATATAATAAAACTATTAATTTTTTCATTAATATGATTATGTAATATGATTTAAAATGAAATTAATATATGTTGATATGAAATATTATTTCATATAGTCTTTTTTTTTTTTTTGTATATAAGAAGTGGTAGCCTTTAAATTAAAAAATATTAAATATTAAATTTTGAATGTTAAATCTGTTGGATATTACTGAATTAAGTTTAGAATTCATTTTTATACAATCTTTATATTATATATTGATCTAAATTTTAAGTTAAAGTGTCACTGTTTTCATCTTATCTTTATTGATTCATTTGATTAAATCTATTGTGAAATATGTATATATATATATATATATATGGTATAAAGGAATTTCAAAGAGAAAAATGTACATTTCGAATCTAATGAAAAGAAATAACAACTGTAAATCAAATCTGACTTATTGTGTGATACCCAGTCAACATCTAATGTCACTGATTCTTAAAACTAATACAAATATTAAGTAAATCAATCCTAGCAATTTCAATTTTAAACTTTTGACAATCTCAAAAGGAGAAAGATAATTATAATTATAGTTAATTAAGATAACATTATTAAGCAACTGATCTAATTGGAATGAGTATCATACTACCATGATCCGTAGGTAAATTTAATAATTTAAAATATAATAGAATGATAGGACATAAATATAATATAAAAATAAAATATAAAATTAATATAATTTAAAATTATAATAACTATTATATATAAATTTAATAAAATAAATATTTTATATTTTTATATCGATATAAATTATAATACATAATTTTTATACAAAATATAATATAAATATATAAAATTTAATATTTTATATTAAATAAATATACAAATTATCAATTTTACCGTAAGTTTCAACAATTAGACAATGGGAATTACGAGTCAAAAGTGGTGAAGCAGCTTAAAGACGCAACCCAACTCTAAAATTTTACACAGCAAAGCTAGCAGCTACCCAATTGTATGGATAATAATATAATTAAGCTTTGATTTTTATAGGTTTTAGTGGGCATATGTCCATATTGCTTTATAGGCAGACAAGGGGCATCATCATAGGGTTCGGTCCGTTGCTCCTTCCTCGGTTTGTGGCAAAGCTTTGAAGTTGGTTTTTTATAGCTATCACTGAATATCTAACCTTTTTGCCATTAATTATAAATAATTTTTTAAAAATATTAAACTATTTAATTAGGTGAAGGAAAACTATACATTCCGTTTCAAAGTCAAGCACAAAATAGTAAATAACAACATGAGAAAAAAAAAATAAAAGAGGAGCCTAATATCTTTACCCATTGGAATTAAAAAGCTGGTCACTCATTGGATTCGGATAAAATTATTATTTTTATGTTTGATTACTCATAAAAATTAAGTATGGATGAATTTATTATTTATTAGCTATATATAATTTGTGAGTAATTGTTTAATTCGATTGTTCGATTATTTATAAAAATTAGTATTTATAAATTTATTATTTTTATATCATAATTGCTCCATAAATGGAATAAATATAAATTTTATGTGTTTTAATTGATATTTATTATTAAAATCATCATGTTTACAAATATTATAATTTAAAAATATAAAAAATTAAAAATATTAAAATTTTAACACAGAATGAACCACATCACTTTTTTTTTTTTTAAAAAAGAGAAGATAAGTAAATGAAAAATGAAAAGGGGTCCAAAATTCAGATGTGACCCTTAAGTTGTTTCCACATACATTATTCTTTCACTATTTGTTTATTTGGTTTTTTTTGTGAAATAAGCTTTAAAAATATTATGTCAAATGATTAATTTTAATAATAATAAGAGGAGGGATGGAATCTGTCTCTCACACTCAGGGTTTGTGTGATGGATGCGTTTCCGGCCGCCCACTAATGTTGTTGGGCTGTGAAGGTGATTCCTTTGCTTCCTCTTTAAGCCATTTTCATTCCCAATCTCTATTTCTTTTTGCCTTATCCACTTGGTCAAATTTCTTAATTTTGATAGCCAAGCTTTTCTCCCAACTACTCTTGTCTTGACTTGGCAAAGGAATTTTGTTTTTTCAAGGAAAATTATTTAATATATATATGATGATGTTTAAAAATTGAAGGTTGTCATATATTTCATTGGATATATTTTAAAATTATAAATTAATTATGTTTGAAATTTTTTAAATTTTTTTACTGAAAATATGTGAAATAATAATTATTTTTTCAATTTGTGTTATTATTATTATTTACTATTCTATAAATCAAAAGTATATAAATTAAGCTTAAAAATGGGATTTTTTTTAAAAATTTTTGAGTATGATTGGTTGGATAACATGGATTTCCTAGCCGGGCAGAAAAAAAATGAACACTAAAGTAAAAAAAAAAAAAAAAATTGGTTCTAAAATCATTTTGTGCTAAACACCACTCATTACAATGAGAGCTATAAAAGTAAAAAAGTCTTAGGATTCATTTGGTAGCTGGTGAAAGGGACTGCCATTGATTGTGCTAAAATGGAATTTTATATTTTATAATTGGACCTTTAAAATTTGTTATAAAATAACAATACTATGAACCCTTAATTCTTAAACATGGATATGGTTATCTTCAGGATAGTGAATTCTATTTGCCATTCTTGATATGTACAAAATGGTTGTTTAATTTCATTTCAGCATCAAGTATTAAGTCAAAGAATCAAATTAGAAAAGGGAAGTCTGCAACTGGAATTTATAAAGATTAATGGCATTTTGTTGGTGGACTGTTTATCACTTTTACGAGTAATCAGACAGGTAATCACACTGACTGTTTCTGGTTTATAATAAAACACAACCTCATCTGACATAATTTTAGCCTTAGGTTTTGAAGATTGGGGTTCATCAGGAACACAAGAACTGTACTTGGTAAGTTTCAGGATTAATGGTGTCCAGCTCTTGTTCGATTGTATTCTTCTCCATTTACCACTCTTTGCCTTCCAAGTTCTGCCACGTTAAGAAGAAGGCATATATACCAATACAGGATTGCCTTTTTTTTATTTACTACAAACAGAATATCATCGTGTGTTTAAGACTGTTCAAATCAATGTGTTTAACTATTCCACTTCATTTCACATGATTTCCAAAGATTTAGTAATATATAATTAATATATCTTATTCCTTGAAAAAAAAAATGGAAGGGAGAGACTGGAGAGAGAGCATGTGAACCAAAATGAGGCCTCCCTCTCTATATTCTTTACTCTTTTTGTTTTTTTTCATTTTTCTTTAATTACAAACATTTCTGTCAAGGGAAAGCGAGAAACCAATGGAGGAGTCTTTTCATGGTGGCGTAGGCGGGTCCCATTGGAAACTGTTCCAAAGTCTTTTTGCCTTCCTACAAATAACCCCACATTCCCTTCCATTGCCATCAAAGCCACAGCCATTTTCGTTCTCAAAGCATCATCTTCATCGTCACTCACTAATCTTAATTTTCCTCTCCTTACATCAAGCAAAGCACCTCCCCCAGTGGTCTCTTTGCAGACCTCTGTTGGATGCTGTTGCTTTTCTCTTGTTAAAGGTGAAATTTATAGTATAATCTGTTGGATGATGTTGTATAGCTATAGCTTCTTTATTTTGTCTATTACAAGACTTTTCTCTCATTGTTTGTTTTTCACTCTATGCAGATAAAATTTATAGTACAATCTGCCTGGTACTTGGAGATGTCTGCTCCACTTAGCAAGAGCCTCCACTTATCTTCAGCTTTGAACATCACTGAAGAGGCCATGATCACCAAGAAGAAAGGGATAGTTTCCATTCTTGGATCAGATACTGAGAGACCAGCCAAAGCTGCTTCACTTAGAAGGACTTTATCAGCCGATATGTCCTCCAAGAAATGGCTCAATCAGCATGGATTCTCTCCCCTGAAAAAGATTGCATCATCCGAGGAATTCCCTGTTTCCACCATAGACTCATCGTCGGAAGAAGGAGAAGAGGATTATGAAGAAAGGAAGGAGACCGAAGCCCGAGGTCAATTCCATATCTGGACTTCGATTCAAGAACAAAACAACAAAAAGGAACTTGAAAAGCCTGGCCAGTTCGATATATGGAGCTCAATCATATCACAAAAGGCTGATCAGGAAAAGCCACTTCCCCCTCCTTATATTCACCCTCTTGTCAAAAGATCAGCTAGTTCTTTAAGCGAGAAAAGCCTTGAAATTTGCACTGAGAGCCTTGGTTCAGAGAGTGGATCTGATGGGTTCTCTTCATACCCTCCATCGGAAACTGGTGACATGGAGGAAGATAAAGAGGAAGATCAAGAACTCCAACAGCAAAAGCAAGTAAGAGCACTGCCACAGCTGACTTTTTTTTATGGTGAGGAACCAAGAATTGTGAAATATACCTACGATGTTGGCAAGAAATCGCCACACCGATCATTTCCTCCACCAATTCCTTCCCTGTCTCGCGAAGATGGAGCATCTGTTCGCATGAAGACTCATCGCGATAATGGTAGATTGGTTCTTGAAGCTGTTTCCGTGCCTTCACAGAACTACTTTCTTGCTCAACGCCAAAATGGTCGCCTTGTCCTCACTTTTGCCAACACCACTCCTGGTAAAGCAAAGTCCGACGTCAATGAAGTAATGACTGTTGAAGAAGAAGTAAAGGAAGTAGAAGAGTTGGAAGAAGAGTTTGAAAGCTTTGAAGAAGAAGAAGAAGAAGAAGAAGAAGAAGAAGAGAGAGTAAGTGAAATAGATATTAATGAAGAGAAGGAAAGTGAGAATGAAATTGAGGGAGTAGAAGATAGGTATTATGAGATTGAGCAGGCTCCTAAACATTCAATTGGAGCAATGAATGTGCATCGATTAGCTGTAATGATGAACAAGCCCATATGGTTAGCAAATAGGAACTCAATATGGTCTAAAAATTTTGATGAAATGGTTAAACTTGGAGAGGAAAGGGAAGAAAAGGTTGAGCCAACCACCCCACCGCCACCACTAGCACAATCACTGCCACCGATACCACGGCTGGCCAAGCTGATTCCATCAGCAGCATCGACGGCGGCACCAGCAGCAGCTGCATCATTCAATGCTTATGAGTATTACTGGAGGAGGCCCAATCAGCCCATGTCAAAGGCAGCCGCAGTTCTTAACCCACTTGCTCAACAGTCAACAGTACCACTCAAGGACAATGGCAACAAGCAGCTTATTCTCTCCAAGAATCTAATGGCTAACGATCAACAACAACTGCTAGTGTTGAGAGGGAACAAAGGAGATTACTTTGTTCCTGTTTTAGAAGGCTGCAAAGAACCTAGGAGGTCTCTCCTCTTCTGGGAGCCATATTGCATTGCCACTTCCTGATTGATCAAACACCCCCCTTCCAACACCCAACACATCAAAATCCATGTCCTGATCCAAAATTCTACCTATAATTGTTGTTATTACTTACTACTACCCTGTCTTTTCTTTTCTTTTTTTTTTCTCTCCTGTCTAGTTTTTCCACTTCCACTCCTTGAGGGTGATTGTGTAGTCAAATTCTAATAAAAAGATCTAGAAAAGGGAGAGAATACTTTTGGAATTTTTAGAAGATGAAAAATGAGAGACAAAAGCAGACTTAACAATGTTATAGTATATATTTTTTACATAAATATTAGCAGTAAATTTGTATGATTCTCTCATTCTCTGCCTATTTGTAGCTGAAACAAAATCCTTAATTCAGGACATCATCTTTTGACTTGGTGGACTGTCTAGTCTGTCTTTACAACATGATGGCTTTTATTGCTTTTTGCAAAATTCTTAGCCAATGGGATTCCAGCATGGGTCATGTCTGGCCTAACTGCTTTTAATTTTGGGAACACCATCATCCACAAATTGATATGGCATGTTTCCATTGGGTTATGACTGTGATGGATATTTCTACTTCAACAATTTAATTTAATTAAAAAAATTTGTACAAATTTCAAAATGGGTTGTTAGAATATTAGTACTATTTTATTATTTCCACATTTAGTGGGGCATCAGAATCTGGAAAATCAAACCGAAAGGAACCCCTCCCTGGTTTTGTTTATCTGTTTCAAATAGCTTTCCATGTTTCACATGTTTTAATCTGTTTTGCCCACTCAGTATGGGCCTAATTGTGGGTCAGAGCCTTGTTTACTAATTTTTATGTATTTAATCTCATTCTTTTAGATGATTTAATTTGATTTCATTTAGGATGATACTAATTATTTAACAAGACCTATAAAGCTTGTATTGACTAATCGATTTTTAACTGCTCATCAGCATTAAAAAAAAAATTTAACCACCGTAAAATTTTATTTTATAGATTTTTTGTTAGAATACTTTTGGAACATGAAATTAGTTAATATATTTAGAGTGTATAAAATTTATAAACTTACATGCATTAAATTTAAATTTTTATTTATATTAAATGCGATAGTTGAAAGTTAATATGTTGGTTTTTAATGTATTAATACAAATGTTATTTATAATGTTAATACAAACTATATTATAATATGTGCAATACACGAAATAATTTTACTTATTTAATATGAATATGTATATATATATACAAAGTAATTTTTTTTCAAAATTATATATATACAAATTATTTTTTTTTCAAAATTATATTTAAATCTTTAAAACTCATAGCATATATAAAATTTATATATATTGACTTGTCATTAAAAAATTAACTTTCTAAAAATAGTAAAAAAAATGTCTTTTCTTTGGATTTTTTGTTTAAAATAATATTTATACACCTATAAGATTATATCAAATAAAAATAAATTATGCTTTTCTTAAAAAATACAAATATATATTATTGAATGACAAATTAAATAATAAAAGAAATATTAACATACTTTCACTTTAATAATCTTAACTAAATTATTATGCAAAATATGAAAAAGGTTAGAAAATATGTGAAAAAAATAAATTGAAAAAATATTATTTTTCATATGAATGAAACTATAATAATAATAAAATATATTTTGAAAAAAATGTTATAAATAAAAAAAAAAAAAAACAAACTGCAATGGTAATAGAATATAACTAGGGAAAAAGTTACTGAAAAAATAAAAAAATTAATCTATAACACATTACATTTATAATCTTAAATTTGTAGAAGAATTCTTTAATAGCAATTAGGATTAAATAGATAATTTTTAAATTAATTTTTAAAATTTAAAATAGATATAATAAGTGATAAAAATAATATTAAATTTTTTACATTTATTTGAAATATAAATTTAATAATTAGAGTTCAAATGAATATAATGATTTTGATGATCTTATTATTTAAAAATTTAAGATGAAATTTTTTTGAATTTTCAAAATCTTATATAAAGTTATTTGAAATTTTAATGTCTTACGTAAATTTTTTAAATCAAGATAAAAAAAATTATTGAAAAATTTAGATAAACTTAATCTTTGTAATTTTTAAACATGTTTGAAAGATTTTGATAATTAAATAATTTTTTAAATAAAATTATTTGATAAACAACTAAAATTATTTATTAAAAAAATAAAATTCATATTTTATATTTTTAATTTTAGAAAATATATCTCTAAATTAATTTTATTTTCAATTATAATTTAAATAATTTTGATATTTGAATAAATTCAAAATTATCAAATTTGTAATTAAAAGAAACTATCTTACTCTTTTAAAAAACTATCCTATGTGTCATTTAAGAGAGTTGTTCATGTAGATATCTATGTGACAAATTTATTTATGTATATTATTAAATATATATATATATATATTAAATTTCATTAATATTTTAATATTAAATAAAAGGATGAACCCGGCCAATCCTAAGCTTTTGAGGTACTAATGGGTCCAGCCCATGAACACTTTTACTGAATATAACACGTGGACTAGTTTTGAACCGACTTGGATCCATGAGCCAAACCGGTAGATAGCACCAGCCCGGCAGCCCGATTCCTGCTGCTTCTCTTCGGCTCTGGCTCCCGCAAGGCAAAGGCAGGCCTGCGATATAGCTAAAATTTATAAAAAGAGGAGAGTGGGAAATTAAGGAAAAAAATCAGCGATGGGAGAGAGCAATACAAGCGGCGATGAGGATTTGCTTCTTAAAGAATTCTTTGCTGAAGTCAGCGAAGTCGAAAGAGACAATGAAGTCATCAGGTTTTCTCTCTTTTTGTTCTTTTGTTGGGAATTATTGTTTTTTTTTTTAATTTGTGGTTATGCATGGGATTTATGAGGTTTTTAGTGATTTTGGTTCGATGGATCTCAGCTATTAGGGTTTATTCTTTCATATTAGCATCAAATATGAATTGGGAAAAGTTTCAATTTTTATTTTTTTTTTAATTTCTAAAGTTTCTTTCTTTCTGTAAAATTTGAGCTGAAATAGCATGCTCTAATTGGCTGAATTTGGTAGCTTTTAAATTTGATATTTATGGTTAGAACAATATACTTAGTAAAGAAATGTTTGTGTCAATTTTGTTGCTCAAATTTTCCATTTAATTTTGATGGGTATTCTTTGTATTTGATGCTCCTTACTGATTCTAGATTACACGTTTTTATTAAGAACTTGATACAGATGACTGTTTTCAAGATCATAGTGAAGTCAGTAGTGATAAAGTTGGTGAAGGCCCTAAATACACTATTTACTTAGGGAGTGCATCAATATGAAGTACAATAAAGTATGACCGGTCTTCTATCAGTCGAAGCCTAATAGCATGAAAAGTTTAAGGGCATTTGGATGCTCTTGACCCAAACTTACCCTGCAAGGAGTACACTTAAAATGAGAAAACTGTCCATGTAACATGAAATTACCATGTACCTTTGTTGGGAAGAACAAAAGATGCAAAGGGTGCATTATTCTCTCTCATTGGGTATAGGTGTGAATGCTGGATACATGCCTGACACACAGTTTCAGTTTTGTGAAAGCTTTTTGCACCTTTTGGAGGTTCATACCCCATACCGAGACCCTGTTTGTTGAGTCAGATATATAGCCAAAATGTGCACTATAGGAAAGAAAAGAGAGTTGCAGCAATATAGCTGCTCCCTCCAACCCTCCCCCTCATTGTCAATTAGTAAGCTTTTTTATTTAGCTGTTGCTACAATTAAAGTGACTGATTTTGATCGTAGAGGCAACATATAACTTGGCTGCTTTCTAAAACAGCAATAACTTCCATTATATCTATTTTGCATGTATGGTGCTTGCTTTATGTTCATTTTTGTGTTCAACTACAGAATTGGGGCAGTTTTATGTATAGATTACTGGTCTAATATTTTACTTCATGACCTTTATTTATGTATGACATTCTTTAAGGGCCAATTATATTTGAAACAAATATCTTAATCCTTGAGAGAACTTTACTCTTTCAAATCATTGTTTTATGTTTTCTTCTGACTATTATGTTTTACTTCCATCAAGCAGTAACACACTTTGGTTTATCGTTGATGAGCTTCTTTCTTCTATATTCTCTCTTAATTAACTTTTGGCTGATTTAAACTCTTTTTTCTGAAAATTGTAGGATTCTTTCCTGCTTCAAGTTAAATCCATTTGAGTTTCTAAAGCTGCCATTTGATTCATCTCGAGAAGATGTCAAAAAACAGTATCGTAAAGTATTCTCTTTTTTCCTTGACCTTTTCCTCATCCATTGATGATTTTGTAACTCAGTTATTTATTGCTTCATTTCATGTTTAACATTATTAGTTATCACTAATGGTCCATCCTGACAAATGCAAGCATCCACAAGCAAAAGAGGCATTTGGAGGTTAGTAGATTATGTTTTATATCTTATATGGTTCTCTTTTCTCGTATCTGGAAAGCTCTATCAGATTAATTTTTAAACAGAACATTATTCATTATCAAATTAATTAAGTTTTATTACTTTGATTATTTGCTATTCCTTGTGGTCCTTCGTGACAAATATCACTGCAAAATGGAATTATTGACACCCCTCCCTCCTTCCCAACACATATACACACAACATAAAATCGTACTTCCTGATATTCAGCATTGTTTATTCTTGATGGTGGTATTTGTTCCTATATCTGCTTGTGCTGATTACATATATATGGTTTTCTGACTACATTTACTCTTTTGAATGTTAGCTCCCTGCCTGAAGACCATAAGAACCTACTAGAAGAAGCAGCATCAAAATTGATAAATTTTGAATTTGGCCGAGTTATTTTCTAGCATTATGGACTTGAGCTAGGCACTGATTATTATGTTGCTTGCTTAAAACATTTTGAATTTTGAGCTGAAATTTAAAGTGTTGAAAGATGATTATGATTTAGGCCAAAAAGAAAAAAAAAAGATGATTATGATGTGTTGATTCTGAATACAAAAAAGAACAATATAAATCAGATAAAGGATTAAACAGATTCAGAGTTATCCTCTCTTTTTTTAGCTCCAATAGCCCTAATTTCCATCAATTTGGCCCCATACAATTGTTAAAAATTTGACACCATTTGGGCTCTAATAACACCATATGCTAGTATTTAATGGAGAAAAATCAAGGAATAATCTCACTAGAATTACAAATTGAGAGTTGCAGTAAGATTAACTATCAGTTTTGCCACTATTTTCACATAAGATGTTAGGATGTTGCATTTTGCATCTGCATACTAGCATCATCTTATATACCTCATGTTTTGTTTATCTGTGGTTTGAATGAAGAAATATTGAGGATAATTTGTAATAGTCAGTCTCTGTGATGCATTTATATTTGCTTTAGAAATATTACATATTTTTATATTAGATTGTTTTAACTACGCTGAGTTTTTGACTTGTGAGCAGCATTAGCAAAAGCCCAACAACAATTGCTTGATCAACAAGAAAGGGATTATATCCTTAGCCAAGTTACTGCTGCAAAAGGTAACTTTCTGAGGAGGCCTTATCTGTTCACATAGTTTTGTTACTTCTTACTCAAAACTTTCATAAAAATCAGAAAGATTTGTTTGGAATCTTATTGCCAATGCCATGTACTTGAAACAGAGTCTTAATGGTACATTCAGTTTTCACTTTTCTTTTGTTAACTTTTTCTTTTATGTTATACGCAGTTATTATGAATAAATAACTAGTAAACTTGTCAATTTTGCAAAATCAGAATGGTTATAATTGGGAATATGCTATCATAGCATGTATTCGTTCTATTTGGTCTTTTGAATTGAGCTTTTCTCTTTCTCTTTCCTGTGTTACATGAATAAACATAAACAAAACCAAACCAAAACCTTGGTAACTGAAATAAGTTCTCACATTTCATCTGATGCAATTTGCAGAAGAACTTAGAGCAAAGAGGAAGAAACAGTTAAAGAAAGACACAGCTTCTAAGTTAAAGTCATTAGTTGATGAGGTATGTCCTTAATATATTTTCATTACATGCTTCTCATATTGATCAATCGGGTGTAATCAGAGTTTTAGCTTTTCATATTTTTAAGGAAGTAATGGAATCTTTCAATATGCAGTCTTGATTGACCATAAGTGTTTTTTCGTTTTTTATGAAGAAATAATTTCTGTGATGAAAGTTCATGTTGTCTTTTCTGTCTGATTTTGCCTTTATGTAAATAGATATTTATTGGTGACCTATCCCATCCAATTCCTCTAGATTTTTATGTCATAGGGACTAAGCTAGTCTGTTTATTTCCAGGGAAAATCTGAGCAGCAATATGAACAATCAGAGGAATTCCAGCAGGAGTTGAAGTTGAAAGTTCGAGAATTATTAACAGAGCAGGAATGGCGGCGGAGAAAAATGGCAATGAGGGTATGCTGGAATCTGTCAATATCCTTGTTTTCTTCATCTGTTCTGGTTTAAGGCTTCCTACTGATGTGAGCTAACGATATGTAAATATCCTACCATCCTTGCTAACAACCCTTTTTATGTCATCTAGATATCTGAAGAGGAAGGTCGTCTAAAGAAGGATGAAGAAGAGCAAAAGGAGATGTGGAAAAGGAAGCGTGAACATGAGGAGCAGTGGGAAGGAACAAGGGAACAGCGAGTATGTTTTCTCTATTTTTACCTCTTTAGCTGACACTTCTAATTAGTTCATCCAGAAGTAAAACAGGAGGGGGCAGAAGAAAAGTAGAATTTAACTGCGACTGTGCTTTTGATGTTTCTAATTATGACACTCAGTTATTCCCCCATTCCAGCTTTAAAGGAAGTCTTACTAGTTTTGATGTAGAATTACTCTTTTGGTTCATGGATGGTTAAATAGCTTTTTAAGGCCATGATGTCTGATATCTAGTAATACTCTTTAAGTATAGTTGCAAGTATCAACCAACTTGACAATGAAGTGTTTAAGAAACAAAAACAAGAAAGCTAGTATTTCAACCCTCTGTCTTGTTATAGTAGAAATCACTTAGACTCCTTTGGTAGAAAGGAAGGAAAATGTTTTAATTTAATGGTTGAGCTACAGAATAGCACAAGATAGCTAAAACATTGGATTAAAACTTTTTCTTTCCTTGTAACCAAATAGAGTGTTAATAAAGTGTTAATCAGATGACAAGCTGGATGTTTACTGTGAACTTCACTCTTATGATTATTTAGCGAATAATTCCATTTATGTGGACTTCTTCAGTTTGGTACAATATCTGGATTTTTGTTTTTGATCTCTCTTTACCTATGCTGTCAGGTTTCAAGTTGGAGGGATTTTATGAAGTCAGGGAAAAAGGTAAAAGTCATATTTTGGTCAAATTGTCTTTTGGTTTTGGATAAGCAAACTACTATATTTTCATTTATGAAAGCAAATAAGATTGTCTAAGGACTGATGGTTTTTGAAATGCACGTCGTATTTTGCAGTCTAAGAAAGGAGAACTTCGTCCCCCCAAACTCAAGACTGAGGATCCCAACAAATCGTATGTTCAGAGGCCTGTAAAGCGGGGTTAATAGATGTGATAGGTTTTGACAGCCATCCAGCTCAACACAAACTCTTCCTGCGCTGATTGAATGAATGGACTTAGGAATGTATCAGAATGAATGTTTGTACGAACCCTACCCAACCCTTGTCTCTGAAAAGGTTTTATTAATGTTGTAAGAGAAAATTAAAAAAAAAAAAAAAATACTTGCACCTTTCTCCACCTTCACTAACCACCGATCCTCAGGCCTTATCCTTTTGACAAGTCATAAATATTGTGGACAAAATCGTAAAAAAGTTATCCTAAATGAAAATCCACATCTCTTCTTAGTATGTGTATGGATAAGCGGAAACGAGAAAGTAACAAATATATGACCAAAACTTGTAACTGTTCATGTTGGAACAAAAGTTTCTTACCTTCACACACAAGTTACATTGGACAAAGATGAAATGAGAATTACACCAATCAAAGCCTCTATGATACAAGTGACGCCCACAAAGATTTTTTAATATTGGTATCTCTTATCATCACATATAACGACCTCAAGGTGGAAAAAAATATTAGACCTAAAACGAGGAACAAAAAAATACATATAAAAACTAAATGTGACAAATACTCAACACTACCAACCCATTTTGAATAAACCACCCAACTGCTTTCTACGTGCCTGTGGCTCAATTTACAGAGGGAAAAACCCAAATTGCAACGTTCGGCACATAACCAAAGTAAAGCTACGCCGCCTGCAATCTGGTTCCTGAACTTGCATTTTAATAAATTTCAAGGCCTACCGTGTGCTGAAAACCGGCGAAAAACCACAAAGTCATAAAGCCTTCAAACTTTTAAAGTGAGAGATTACAAGTTCGGAAATGCCCGTGTATGGCATCATGTATACAGAAGACCAGAATCCCCAGGTGGTTGCATAAGCCCAAATGAGTATATATAGAAACAATTGGAAGGATGTACTATATCCAAGCGAGAGAGCCTCTATCATTTGTTACTTGAGGACGACCTCTAGTAGGTGTCGGAGGTCTGTTAGCATTCAGTTCCTAACCCCATAAATACAAAAGATTAACATGAGTATTACAAGCAATGCATGTAATACCGAGTAAAAGCATAAAAAAATAACAAAAGTTTAGTTATTGCTAACAAAGAGAAAGAGGCAGCACCTGCATCCATGTATCATCTATATGACGTTCAGGTGATGCTTCTGGTGATGACATTGCTGGGGGTAAAGGATGAATGAGTTTCGGAACTACAACAAGATCCCTACCCAAAACTAAGATTGCACCAGCATTATTAGCAGTACCTGAAAGAAAAAGCATGAAGCAAAGTTTAAAAGCTAAATTGCCTGTGGACCCGACAGAGAGTATGTATATTTAATATGCACGGGTCAGGGACACACCACAATAATTCGTTGCTGAGAAAAGGGTGATTAAATGTCCCTGGGCAAAGCGCTCAAAGCCATCCATAACACACTCATGAGCACGAACAATCAGCTGAAGATCATTGTTATTGCAGAATTCCATAACACGATCGGGCTGCAACAGGAAAACCATTTACATAAGCATAACATGCAAAATCAGCATTCAATTAATCAACAAAAGACAGTTTCACTAAGAAATGGACCTGCACAATCAAGGGGGAAAAGGAACACAGAAGCAATTTAAATGAGTATTCAAGTCAAACTTTTAACTCCCAACGGTATAATAAAAGATAGCATCATTCATTCTAAAGCTGAGGAAAAAACCAAAAAAATGAAAAAAAGAGAGAGAGAGAAAGAGAAATAGTTTCATGTTGCAATAAGGAGATCAACCAGCCATAATTTGCAGGCCAATTGACCATTTAAGTACTTTCTCAAATATTGAAATCAACCAACATGCAGCTATAAAAGACTTTAAATACTGTAGTTTAACAAAAGTTTTAAGTACTTCCTCAAATGTTGAAATCAATGTAACATGCTGCTACAATAGACTTAAATGCTGCAGTTTAACAAAAATTTTGACATAGCACACTCACCCCAAAAGTAACCAACCCTGGACCTCTAGCATTTGGTCGCAACCCTTCCACACTATCATTTTCTGTTGGATCAGACCTATAGTAGAAAATGGCAGTAAAATGTAACCAACAAATTAAAGCAATGAATGCTATATTTCATGACCAAAACAAAACAGTAACATGATCAGACCATAATAAATCCATTAGAACAATCGAGCCTGCTTCCATTGTAATCGGACGCTGTAGATTCTCAATCTGTTCCACATGATTTATAGACCGACCAATGCCACCATGCATACAAATGATTTTCTTTTCAATTAGAGCTGCCAGAGGAAGCCAATTGAATAAACGGTTTATGCGATGCCATGCCCATATTCCATCTCTCTCACCCTGTTACACAAGCCATCAGATTTGTAACTAAATTGTTATAGAAAGAATGCAGAAATATTTTCTATCACATATAAGACAATACCATGCGCTCAATACACTCAATCCGGAAGCCAAAAAGTGCATTGATATCCGCAGCCTCATGATTCCCCCGAATTAAATGTACATTATTGGAATACTCAACCTGTAATGTTAACAGAATTATATGAAAATCTAGGCTCATCACAACTTCAATAGGAAGTAAAAGTGAGCACAAGAAGATTATCAAAGCAACAAATTTCTAAATTTACCTTCAAAGCAAGCAGAAGAGTAATGGTCTCCAAGCTGTGTTGGCCCCGGTCCACATAATCTCCTAAGAAGAGATAATCGATATATCTGATAGTATTTTATAATCAGTATTGAGTAAATAAATGTTGAGATTCGAAATGAGATGCAATACAGCACATGCAGATTACACATGAGAAGACAACAATGTCTAAGATATTAAAGATGTCAGTTGAAACCCTTAGCCATGTTGATACATCACCAGTAAAAAGCCTTCAGAAAACAAGTTTTTTTTAATCAAAACACTTACGCAATGTCCCCAGCTGTCGAAGGTGCACCATATTCATCAAAAAGGCGCATAAGATCCCCAAACTGCCCATGTAGATCACCAAAAATCTTAATAGGAGCTTTCAGCCGTAAAACAGTTGGTTCAACTGCAAATATTCGTTCAGCACTTTCACAAAGATCTGATATTTCATTGCAATCTAAGAAAAACTGTCTACGAACTGGGGGTTTCCAACCGCGAGGCTTCAAAAGATGTGCAATGACCTGGCAAAGTGAAATTTAGACACTCCATTATAAATTAACAAAAGCATTTTTTAAAGATAACCAGACCACCAAAGCAAGACTAATCAAATTCCTAAGAGGAACCCCTATATAACTTCATCAGGATCTTAGTGACCAACCGAAAAACAAATCTGAGGTTCAATCCATAAGAATTATTACAATTACATTATTAAAGTAGCATATTCAAGAAAAAAATAGGATTTTTATGTCCAGTAATCCAATTAGAACGAGAGAAATCTCAAGGATGAATTCTCTCCAAGCCACAGAGAACTAATAACAGAAGCAATTCATCAGAAAATTAATAATTAACTTTTTTTAATGCCAAGGTGCATGGCTTAAGATTGCAAGGCAATGAAAGGATTTTATAATGCATTGTGAGCATGGTAATGAAATCTGGCCTTCAAATAATTACAACCAAAACAATTAGGAGCTTTTGAAGCTTTTCATTTTCACGAATTTAAGCTGTGATTGATTAAGAAGCTGAGGCAGATTTCTTTCACTGCTTTGAGATAGCTAGTGCTGGTAAATCCAGATATATTGCCACTCTATCACTTTCCAAGTTGCATCAAGAGAAATAACCATCTCAGAAACAATACAGAACATATATGAGGATAATAAATGTATGCCCACTAGGATAAAAAGAAGGGAGAAACCTATCTTCTTCACTTGAGAGTTCAAAATTAAATACTCTCATCCTAAATGTATCAAGTACCATATCTATAAAAATAGAAAAGATTAATCTTAATTCAGATAACCTCAAAGACTTGAACTATAATCAATTTTATTGCAATAAAGATAAATTCCATGACAATATCTTCAAAAAAAAAAAACCGTTCAAATAGAAAGAAATCATTCTTAGGTGTTGGTATTTGGGACTTAGGGCGTCAGCCATGAAGATCCTGCTTTTTTCATTCAACTCTTCCTTTTTTGCTTGAGAGACATTCAACAATTACTCCAAAAACACAGGTGTTGCTTTATGATGTAAAAAGCTAGGGATATTAGTACCTTTTTTGGGACACTATTGATTGACATCTGCCTATCTAATAGTTTCCTTGCTGCAGTTGCACTCTCAGGAGTCCCATAGCTAACCCGCCTGCCTTCATTTTCAAATTGGTCAATGGAAAGCTGTCTGACCATTCCACCTAAAGCTCCACCAGTCTCAGCAGCTACAACAACCTGTTGGCATAAAGGAAAGATTAGACACAAAGTTATAGATAACAGAAAATGCCAATATTGACTTGAGACCATTGTCATGTAGATCAAATTTTCTGATACTGACAGCTCTGTGGTGAAGCCGAACTCCAGCTGGAGCAACATTATTTGACTCAGCTGAATCAGGCATCTTAATCAAGGTAGACATCTGTTTTCCACTAGGTGTAGCCTCTGCCCCTCGATCCCTATCAGGAAGTTCAACTTCTCCATTAACTTGTCGTGCCTTGGCAGCAGCCAGTGTGGCACTAATAGCCTCTGCTTCAGCAGCTGATGCTTCAACCAAGTACTCAACACCTTTGCTCATTCTCCTAAGATAAACCACATAGTAGCAACTCATAGGATTGATTGAGGAAGCTTAACCATTCAATAAACATATAACACAACAAAAATACGGTGGTAGCTTACCGGGATCCTTGAAACATGGCATTCTCAGTGCTTATATCAGTATACATATCCCCATTAACAGGGGGAGCAACTGGATTTCCCAGCACAACTGCTCCATCAGGAACTTCTTCAGGCATTGTTTGCCTTGTTCTTTCATCAAGAAATCCATACCTTCCAGGTAACCGGCCTGCATGCACATTAGAAGCAGCAGCTGCAGCTGCAGCATGTGAAGCTGCTGTCGTTGTCTCAGCAGCAGCCAGGTCTTCAGCAACAAGGAGGTCATCAAGTAACACCCCTACAGCATAAATACAACACATTACAGGCACTAGTAAGAATATCAAATATTGATTCTCATATGGATTAGCACTAAGTACCAAAAATTAGCTAAAGTTTAAACTCCATGATACATGAAAACGGATATCTTACAGAAACAAACTTCTGTAATTCTCAACCCACAAGCTCTAACCTCTCTTACAACTAGATGTTAAATATGAGATGCCAACTAAGCATTTGCTCAGATGCCATCCATAATGGACGAACTCCTGTAGGTTGCAGGTTCGAGAGGAATTGGGAGTGTAATGTCCTCCTCAGGCAAGTTAAGTTGATAGGGATAGGAGGGTCAAAAGATAGATTAGGAATTTCAAAAAAATGAGAATGAGAAAAGAGAAGAAGGTGGTTGGCTTAATTCTTCACTAATTTTAAACATCCAAATTATGATCTCATGAAGTGGGGAAGAATCAAGGCCTCCAGAACTATCCCCTGGATCAATCTTTGGTCCATACCATGAGCTTCAAAGTTTATACAGATTCTGTAATGTCCCTATATCCTATTTAAATGTTCGAATAATGAGGCAAAGGATTAAATTTTGGCATTTCATACTAGCCCATTTAAGACCATATTTTTATCCTAAGAATATATGATCAATCCATCCCATCCAATCATAGCCATATCACAATCAACCTTCCTCTTCCCACTCCCGGTCAAAGCCTTTCCACTCCTACATGCTATCATCAATCATTGCACAAATATGAAAAATATGTAAAGTGGAACTAAGTGACTTATCATTAGGCTTCCTCAAAAAGAACTTATCGCTTCTACCTTAACAATCTTAAATCATGGGCCATCAGCCAGAAAACTTCACTAACTCAAAAACTAAAAGGCTAAGAACTAGGAAGATCATTTAATAAAACCAATGAAGTGAGCCATCCAAAAGAACTAGATATGAATCCCATAATGCATCAATTAAATATCACACATACAAATAGTAATTGACAAAATTAAAGATAAAATTATCTATGGGGAAAAACATCTTTATTCCTCAAAATATAAATGTTAACAAGCCTGTGGGTGACCTGTCATTCTAGATTAATCATATCTAAGAAAGTTCAAAAGTGAAACTATAATTATGTAAAGTTCAAAAGCGAACTGTAATTACGTATTACAATATATCATGAAATATGCATCTAATAGATAACTGATAACTCCATGCTGGGGCTAGAAAAAATGGGGTGCAGATATTGTAGAATAAAAGGCCATCTTACCACCACGTAAACCACCATAAATAAATATCAAGTCACCAACAGCTGCAGCCGCATGTCTGCAACGCCTTGTCAACTCAACTGAAGCATCTCCACCAGCAGCATCAGCACTGTATCTGCCTGTCCTTGGACTTGTAACAACAGATTTTGTATCACACCAGACTCCCGCAGCAGTATCCAACACTATCAACAAGGGGAATAGGTTAGGAACTTGTATATTTCCAGAAATGGTGTTTCTTTCGACAACAAATGGCTGAATGCTCAATGTAATAACAATATCAATTAACATGTTCATATGTTAACAATAAATTAAGATATTGAACATTTCCTGCTTTTTGACATAAACTCAACAAAATTCCAGAAATTTATACTGCCTGAGTTGAGGCAACAAAACCTTCAATCAAATATTAAGTCTTGCAACTTTCTGATAAAAGATTATTCAGATATCAAACAGAAATGATAATTTTGGTTTGTTGGTTACAGATGGAAGATGTCAATGAATTCAGATATAACTTCTACCATAAGGTGGAAGAGAGAGCAAGAGAAAGAGAGAACAAAAGGAATCAGTACGAAAGCTCCAAGTCACATGATTGGAGAATACTGAGATTGAAGAAAGTGCTTTAAGACTAAGAAAAGCTGTTTCCTACTTTCTTACGCTACCATTACATCCTTTTTCCAGCAGAAAGAGCAACCAACTTTGGGCAAATTCATAACAGATTAGACCTGGAAAACTACTTTTAAACCTTAAGATTTTACAAACCCACATATGTTGTATACAAGTAAACCCACCAGCACAGCACATCAAGTAATAAAAAGTCAAGACACTGAAAAACAAAGACCAAGTACCTGCAACACTTGACGAGTCCTCTACCATGCGTCCACCGCCAAGTGCCCCACCAGAAACATGGAGCCTTGCATTGACAAAGACCTAGAAACATAGCATGTGCATGTGATTCATCTAACTAAAAGAAGTCATAGATTGAACAAAATTATTGAAAAATGAAGTTAAGGGAAGAAAAGAAAAACTCACTGCTGCATGTTGATATCTTGGAGATGGCGATACACCTGGAGCAATTGCCCATTCCCAACGACCATCTCTGTGTTTTGCAAGTCCATATGCACTTGCCGATGGCTGAAAAAAGAATCACAGAGAAGAACCCATGAAGAGAGAACATGTTATGCAAATCTAATGGTAAAAAGGGATGTAAAAAATTTATAACAACAAAATTATGACACCATTTACATCCATCTCAGCTCAATCTTTTAAAATATCTTTATTGCTATTATTTTCACATTCTTCACAATTCATTAGAATGTGCCTCGCTCCCTATCTACACAGATAAAATGTACATTCAGATTAGTGCCAACATTTATTCAGATTATTTAAACTTCACCCCAACAAGACAATACTATAGGTTATGAAATTTTATGGCATATTGTTCAGAAAACTATATATATATATATATATATATATATTATGCCATTCATTTACTAAATCTAGACACCATAGAATGCTGACTTCTTAACTCACCACACTGTTTGCATCCCTCCCTCCACAGAGCAGCAGAAGACCATCCGAGCGTGCACTTGCAGTAGCATACCTAGTTAAAAAGGAATTGTCAACAAGGAATTAGCCTACAATCACATAGATAAATCATCAAATAAATAAAAATAAACAACAACAACCAAGTAAGAAGCAAGCTTGACATCATCATTTCTGAGAGCATAAGCAAGACTATGAGCTTTAGCATACAATGTTATGTAAAAGCTATAACAATAAATATGCTATGAAGGAAGAAATACATATAGATACATTAACAGTCATCATCTCCAACCACATGCAGAGTGAAAGATAGGCATAGCAATAAATACACTATCATATCGTGCATACTGCTCCTTCTAAGAGAACGAAAACTATAAAATTAGAACAGGGTATATCATCTAAGATTGGTATTGACGCAAGAACACAAGTCAGTTCTCTGTGTGTGTGTGTGTGTGTGTGTGTGTGTGTGAAAGAGAGAGAGAGATTACATGCATGGAGGTGGACCTTCCCCTTCAGGTTCCAATTTACGCCATTCATAAGGCTTGGCAGCAGTGTCCAGGGCCCATACATCAGCCAAAGGCCGCTTACCTAGAAATGATGCACCAAAATTTTCAACAAAGAATTCATTAGAAAATCTCTATAAGTAAATGAAAAAGAAAAGAAATTTTTATGCAGAAAAAGAAAAAAAAAAACAGAATAACAGATTACTTACCATCATTTCCACCAATTGCCATGAGATATCTTTGCCCCACCAAAGCCATCACATGTCCATAGCGTGGCCCTGGCCCAGGGCCTTGAACAACAACCCTGAAATACCATTAAAAGTCATATCATTATACCAATCTTAACACTATAAATAAGGTACACACATGCATCCTTCAGGTCCAAACCTATGCCACCGTGGTCGTTGCTGTGTGAGGTCAAGAACATGAAGATCCTCAGCAGACAAACCGGCTGGACCAATTCCACCCTGAGTTAAAATAAAAGCTTCTGTGAGGAATTACTTACTGCAGAGGAAAGAAGTTCAACTAAATAATAACATGGAAAACGGAGAAAAGATATATTATAAAATACTGCAGTGTGTACAAACCTGAATAACAACCATAGTTCCAACAGCAGTTGCCACATGTGCTGCCCTCGGTGTAGGTGACTCACCCAAGGGGGTGATCCTATGACATTAATTACACGATAAGCCAAGAATAATTTAGGAAGGTAACACACAGAAGTAATGAACCCTCAGTCCTAGGCTTACCTAGACCATTTATTAGTTAACACATCATAACAGTGCACATCGGCAGTGGCACCTGCTAGTCCTGCAATTTAATTGAAACAAAAAAAAAAAGTTTGAAGCATGAACATCATCCAACAACATAGAGAAAATTTCTTAAGAATTGACTTGTTCAGAGGGGGAAAGGGGACAATAACAACCAGCCTTGGCATGCCATATGTTAAAAACAGATTGTAGAGGGCCCTGAATAAATATCAAGCCAAACAAGGTCCTAGTTATGCATTATTGCTTGAAACCGGTCAAATATTATTATGTTTTACACCACAGACAAAAAACAAAGAATAAATATAGAAAGAAAGAAACCTGATGTAGTTGACTCCGAAACTTGCAAGTTGCTACCATAGCAAATGCCACTAGATTGTGAGTATTTCAAAAGAATGAAGAAGCTTTTTTTTTTTTTTGAATCATAGGAGCATGAATTATAACGGCAGGAAAATGTAGGCATATTGTTTTTTGAAACCACTCATGTTTTATTTGCAATTTGAGGCAAAACCAGGATATTTAAATTAAAGCTGTAAGCAGAAAACAGACATATCTCATATGGGTAGTTTCAACTTGACATTGAAACTAGGTTTGATGTTTAAAAAAAATTGGAGTCCAATTTAGCACCATAAAACATCTTTAAAGAGAATATTTGATATTTGTGTTAACTGCACTTCCATCTCTGTTATGAGATATAAGGCTTAGTTTATTGTTATTGTTGTCGTTGTTGTTATTGTTGCACTACCATCTATACTGGCAAAACTTTTTCTCTAGAGAGATTGGAGCAGAAAAGGGTTTGGAAAGGGGGGGAGTTCAAAACTCCAGAATAAACAACAGAATCCAGTAGCACCATAATAAATACTGAAGCAACAATTACACAAGATTCAAGAATGCAGGGATTATACTTCACTCCTAGTCTTCTATCATTCTGTAAGACAAAATAAAATTCATCTTGCTTGCACCAAAAAAAATAAAATAAAATTCATTTTGAATTGCACAAAACCCAATGAATGTAAAGTTCATATGTCACCTCCAAAATTCCAAGCTGCAGCAACAATAAAATTCATTTAACTTGGTATTCAACAACGAACCTAAAAGACAATTATATTACTTCATCTCTTGTTCTGTAAAAAACCCACCACCTACCTGCTTTGGCACTCCCTACCTCTTTAGAGTTTTTCTTTTTTCAGAAACAACTCCCATACTCTTTAGAGTAATTGTTTCTTTACCAATCCAATTAAAAAAAAGACAGTTATATACTTACAGCAATGATGAAATTAGTTTGGCCTTGCTAGGAATTTAAATTGCAATTGCGGTAGCCTTTTCAGTCACGTCACTTTTATTGCGATTGGAGACATAACAGAGACCATCACAATCATTGCGGTAATCGCAGTCGTGAATTTTTTTTTATTTTGCACAACTTGCTATAAAATGTAATAATTATAATTATAATTATAATCATAAAAACTTTTATTTTATTATTTTTATAGTCATTTATGACACCTCATGTCTTTAATTTACTTGTGAAAAAAATTGCACTATTATTTTCATATTATAATAAAGTATTCATATTAGGTTTAACAACAAGACAAGTTTGATATTAATATTAACAAAGAAGAAACATGTTAAATGTCAAGCATCCATATACATTTTTTATGCATGGACTATACTTCTACTCATAAATCTCTCTATTTAAATCATATTAATTTCTAAATTTTTTTAATTTTATACTTCCATCTAATTAGATTTTCCCTAATAAAATTCCCATCCTCTTAAAATTTATAAAATCCCCTCCTAAAAGTTTTCCCCTAAATTAAAAAAAATTCCACCTAAATTAAGAAAAATTCCCCCCAAACAATTAAATTTCCCAATCCCTTCCCCCTAAATCAAAATTCTGACTAAAACACCAAAAGCCCATTCCATTCCCCCCACCAGACACTCACCCCAATCCCCACAAAGTCACCCACTGACACTTCAACAGTCCACACGCTTTTCACTCTTCCTTTTTCTACCTCATCCCTTTGGCCCTGAGCCCCTCAGCCACAGCATCACTGTATTTCACTCTTCCTCTTCCTCTCTTCTCACTTATCTAATTCTCCTCTCTTCTATGCATGGTCATCTCTCTGATCTTGCCTCAGAACCAAACCCATAAATCCCCGTCAAATTCGAGTATATCAACACCAAACAGGAAGCAAAAGCAGCCTCCCCTGCCTCCTTCAGTTGATCCACAGTTCTACCCCCAGGCCTTGGCACCCAGCAGCCAACAAGCCAAGCAGCCCGCCAGCCCCTGCCCCCTAGCAGCAGAATCAAGAAAAAATGGATGACCGCCAGACAGTCAACTCAAGACCAGGTATTTTCAAGAGAAACAGAATTAACAAAAATGGTAATTTTAAGTTTTATATAGTTGCTTACCTTCAAAATTCAAATCAATTACTTGTGTTGTGCTGTTTAATATTATGATTGAGGTTGAAATTTTGAATTTAAGTTTGTGAATTGAGTTAGGGTTTTTTTTGGCTTCTCTCGCCTTAATTTTGAAATCAATTTTTTTTCTTTTTTGGATAAAAAACGGAGTAGACTGCTATTTCCGCTATTTTCCGTTAAGCTATTTTGCAACGATGACATGCTGCTACAGTTGGGGTTGAGATTCTCCCCCGATTTTTCCTCAATAAAGGTGGCAGTTGGTGGTGTTGCCACAAAATAGCCTGCCACTATACCACTACACCACTGCTATTTAAAACCCTGGGCCTTGCATTAAGCTATGGTTTCTCCTGCGAAGCTACAATTGATGGTTTAAAGAATATGCATCCTAAATCCCCTAATGTTCCCACACTGTCACACATAAATCAACATCTATAACCAAATTTCTTTTCATCTTAAATCACTTAAACCGCAATAAATTTTAAGGCTTTCTTACACAAACATCAAATCAAAATGAAAGAAAATAGAAAGAACTTACTGATGCCAGCGCTTCCGGCCGATGATGGAGTCCCAGAAGCAGCAGAATTCCCTTCCAGTGCCGTGGCACCACCAAACAGAATCAACCTAGGCCCAATAAACCCGGGCGTCCCTTCTTCCCCAACAGCTGCCACAGCCGTTAGGGTATGCCCACACCTAGGGCCGGGCCCGTCTTCTTTCTTCTCTATTATCGCATTCACCACCGAATAAGTGGGCGCCCACCTCGGCCCCACCATCTGCGTTTGGGGCTGTCCTTGAGCAGCAGGTGCAGCTGCTGCAGCCTGTTGTTGCGCCGGAGGAGAAAGAGATCCAACAGGTCCCGGTGGCGAAGCCTGGTTCTCTAGTTGCTGATTTTGTTGCTGTTGCTCCCTCTCCATCGGCGCCGGAGATAGCGAAGCTCCGTTGTGATTCTGATCGTGATCGCTCTCTGGCACCATCGACGAATCAACATCCATTTCTTTAACTATCCCAAATTAAGCCCTAGGTTCAAGAAATCGTATATAAAGTAGGCAGCCTGTCTTTCCTTTCACGCTAGTGCTCCTTCATTGACTGTGTAAGCTTGAGCTTTGACTTTTACTGCTTGACTTTCTTACTTATTTACTGCGCCTTAATAGAATGCCAATGAAGTAGGACGCAAAAGACATGAAACTGAAAGCCAAAGAAAAAACAAGCCACACTTCTTCGCCAATGGCTTTCTCTCGCGAAAAAAGTCACCACGCGGCCAGGACCACAGCCGGCTCCATGGTAAGATGAAGGATTGAAGGGTTTTCCCCGGAAGGATTGATTAGTCTTGGAAGGTGAAGGCCAAGGAAGAACTGACACAAAAACAAAATAAAATAAAATAAAACCCTTAATTGGGGCAAAACAAGATCGGCCAGCCAAAATCAAAGCAAATTCGCATCTCCGATCAACATTTTCGAAACCCTAGCTCAGATCGTGAATTAACCACCTCCTAAGAAAATTCGACAACGCTTTTTAGGAATTTATTTATTTTTCCAGGAAAGAGAGAGAAAATTTGTAGAAAAATCCTTTTTCGGTTTTTCTTTTTTTTCGTTTCAAAGAACTTTTTTCCCTTTATCCCTCTCTATATTCGAAGCCGTCGAGGAATTTGAGAGAAAAAAAAAATCTCAAAGCCTTTAAACAAAAACAACAGAAAAAAAAAAAACGAAAAAAAGAAAGATTATCTCTCACTTTCTCTTTCTAGAAGTTTGTTATGTTACGTGATCCTTTCTCTTTCTATATTTTAGTAAAAATGTAAAATTGATTTTTATTTTATTGCTTTTTATTTTTGACTGGAGCAGCCGGTAAAAAGATGTACGGATGTGTGGCGTTCGCCGTCTTAGAGAGGAAATACGGCGGAGAACGGGGAAGCGTGAGCGGAATGGGGTTAAAATATTTAACGGTGGTTACCTGTTGCGTTTTGCGCTCTAGTCACCTAATAATGAGGAATTCAAACTTTCACGCGCAATATCACTTTCTATTTGTCGCGCGTAGGGCTAAAAAAGCACCACGTGGAAGTGCGATTTCCACTTAGAAAATAAAAGAATTAGGAGTTTTTATTATTATAAATAATTTTAAGCCAATGCGATTCTATATATAAATCAAACAAAAAATCTATGAAATAAAATTAAATGTGAAAAAAAAATACTAAAAAAATAAGAATTAAGAGTTTTGTGCAATTTGTTATAAAAAGTTTACTTTAGGCTTGAAGGTGGACAAGATTAACATTACTTTGGCTGAAACTTGTGCAAGAACGACAGCATACAATAAATTATATTAGAGATGAAAGTGGACATCTCAATAAATCTTATTTATAATTGAATATTAATTGAGTAAAACTATTATTTTAATATGTTTTAGTTTTAATAGATTGAAATTTATTAATAGGTGTATAATAATATTTATTAAAATGATGTTTAAAAAAAGTAATTAATGATTTTTATTTGTCACCCGGAAGGGTAAAAGAGCAACACATGAAAGTGAGATTTTGGAAATAAAGGAGAACACTAATTGCTATTTAATGACATTGATTACTATGATATTTTATTTCATTATTAATAAAATAATATATTATATGTGTGTTTGATGTATTAAATTATAATAGAATAAGATAAAATGATATTATGAATAAGATTAAATTAAATAATATTATTTTATTTTTTATTTAGTATGTGTAAAGATTATGATAAAATAATTTATTTATTAATTAAAATTATTTTTAAAAAAATTTATATAAGTTAAATTATTAATATAATTTTTAAAAGTAAATATGATAGGTAAGTTTAATCAAATATATTAAAAATAATTTTTTTATTTTGAAAAGATTGCATTATCTTATATTAAGAGAATAATTAATTTTTTTATAATTTTATCTTTTTTATGATACAAATTAAACATAATATGTAATTATTATCACATTATTATATTTTTTCTATTATTCTATGCATCAAATATAACTTAAAAGTTATTATTCTATCCACTGTTAGTGAAAAGCAAAATTCCATTAAAGCACCCAACGAGATAAAAGTAAGAGAGAGATAAAAAGCTTATTTCTTTAGAAAGGCATGTAATGCATAAAGAGATCCACTTAGATAAGTTTTAGACTTCACTTATAGTATATAAAATAATAATTCATACATTAAATACAAAAATTTTTAACTAATATTTTAACTATCTTTATAAAGTGTTTATAAACCTTCATTTGTTGGATCCTATTAAATTCTCAAAGGCTATAACTTTTTAAAAACAAAGTTTTATTTATTATAAGCAATAAATGATATTGGCCTTTAATTAATTTTAATAATAATAAAATTAAAGTATAAATTAATTGACATATTATTGGAACTAACATTTAAAAATTAATGCTTCAAGAGAATTTAATCGTCTTTTTCAATCAAGTATGTAGTTTGATTAGTTCAAAAGAATTTAAACGCGTAATGTCTTATTCAACTAAATATATAATTGGATAAAATGGATTTAAAGGTAAATCAAAAACATAAAAAAAAAAAAATTCAAACCCCATTTATCTTTTAGTGTAATTAAGAATTTGTATTCGTTTAAATATTTCCAGCATTTGCCTTTTAATATGCATATCCTAACGTTGAAATAGAGATTACGAGAAAAGCATAAAAAAATTGGCAATAAATGTTTTTTCCTAAATGTAAATTACCTAAAATTAAAAAACACTTGAACTTTGTATTTCTACTTACCGTGTAACATTTGTAAATAAAAAAGTAAAAATATTAATAGTAATTTAAATATGCATTTCAACTTAAATATAATGCCAAGGTTTTACCATTCAATGTATAAAAAAATTTCTTTGTTAATCATTTGGATATTGTTAATTCATGAAAAAAATTACTGTCAACTTTGATTATATAAGCTTACAAATTAAAATAAAAAAATGGAGTAAGATTAAATCTATCATTATATTATAGATAGATGTTGAATTTTTTTAACAGGCTTCAAGTTCATTAAATTTTTCATTTTATTTTTAATTTTGTTGATTTTTGCATAAAAATTAACAAGACTAACATAAATTTACTACTCATATTAACAAAATAACTTAACTCCATTATTTTTTGTCAAAAATAAAATTTAATATTAAATTATAATATAATGTTAAATTTAACTTTAATTCCAAAAATATAATAATAAAATTTTCTTCATGACATTATTGCTTACTGAGAAATTTTAAATGCAATCCAAAAAATCTTAATGCAATCACATTTTTATTAAAAAAAAAAACACTCTTATAAAAATTACTTAACGAATTTTATTTTGACTTTGTTGTAATAAATAAATATAAAACAAAAAAATATTGTATTTAGAAATTCTTCTTTTTGTTTGTTTCGAAGAAAGCAGCCCCGCGCACGCCCATCCAAGTGTTGTCTAATGGCTCGTAAAAGCAATTTCTAAGAAAAAGCGCGTGGGAAAGCATCCGTTCGACCTGACAACTACATATGAGGTGAGAGCTGGCTTTGGCCAGATATTGTATTATATTATTCTTACTTTTATTATGTTCTTTTACTACTACTAATCTTAATAAAATACTAAGCATTACAGTTATGACTAAATTTGTGTCTTACAGTTATCTTTTAATTCTTTAATAGCAATTATTTTATTTTATGTGTTTTTTTTTAAATGTAATTATTGTATTATAATTAATCAATAATAATTAATTTTTTATATAATTTATATAGAATTATGGGATATAAAATGTAATTTATTATAGTTATTGTAATTAATAATAATTTAATATTATTTAGAATCTATACCAAAATTATATAGATTTTATATATTTAAGTAGTAGATTTTTACATAATTTTTTATTATAATTGATTAATTATTGTATTATAATATAAAAATTATAATTATTTTATTATAATATAAAAATTATAAATGAAATGTTTTTTATGTTAAAGTAATAAATTAAGATAAAATCAATTTTTTATAAAAAATTGATAAGCACGATTAAAAAATAATAATAATTTCTTGTCATTTTTTATCAAAATAATTCAAATTTTATTTTATTTTTTAAAATATTATGTTGAATTAAAAATTTTAAAAAATATATTCGAAAATTCTAAAACTCAAAATTTATAAATTTTATTTTAAAATTTTAAAATTTATAATTTTACTAAAATAATTATAAAAATTTTAATTAATTAGATAAAATTTAATAAAAAATTTAATTTTAAGAGGAATAGAATATTTATTTTTTATCAAAAAATAAACAAATATAATTCAAGAAAATTGAATAAATTATTCTCTCAATTTGCAATACAAAATTTAATACAACAAGGACTTTTTGGATAGGTCTCTCAACCCCTCATAAATATCATTTTATCATTTTATGATTAAACTTTTTCATTGCACATTTAAATGAGGCGTAAATTAAAAAAAATGAGAAATTATGTTTATTCAAATGTTTATCCACATTGTCATTTTCCTATGGATAAATATGCACAAGTTCAAAATTTATGTACTTGGGAATTAATGCTTTCTTAAGACGTCGACAGCATTTAATGGTCCATACTCCATACCCTGCTGTTGTGCAAACTTAAATGTACTTTGTCACTCAAGAGATTGGGACCAAAATTTCTCAAGCCTTTTAGGATTTGTCAATTTTTTTATGCTAGTTTTTTACAAAAAAGAATTTCTAAATGCACTCATTTTTTTTCTATTTAATCACACTTTTTTTTTATTTTTTATAAGTAAAATTATTAAAATACTTATTTCACAAATTTTATAACTTTTAAAAATTTATTTATGAAAAGTCATAATGTATCTCAAAAATGCATTTATGAGAAGTTTAATAACATTTCTCAAAAATATATTTTCAAAAATGTTGGAATTAAAATTTTATGAAAATTTATAATGGAGAAATTTGGTTTAAATTATTTGTAAATAAATGTAATGAAAAAATTTATTATTAAAAAATTATAAATTTGAATTAATAAAAAATTACTTTTATTATTTTCATCTTATAAAAAGAATAATATCATACTTTTTACTTTTTTTAGTGATTATTAAAATTTTATAATAATTTTAATTAAACTGAACTTTTTAGAGAAATCTTTCTATCTACTTATGATAATATTTTTCTTCGATTAACATATTAAATTTTGACAAAATTATATAATATTTAATAGTATTACTTATGTTACTTCTTTATTCATAAGCTTGCAATGTTGATTAAGAAAAATTTTAATTTTGAGTTAGTTTTAATTCTTCCAACCCCTTTTTTACTGATTATCAAGTTCATGTAAGATCGAGGACATGACAATGGTGATTTGTTAGCATTTTTACAAAATTATGTGGTATTCAGTATTATTATTTATATAATTCTAAATAATTATATTTTTTATACATTAATTAGACCTAATAATTCTTTCATCATCTTTCATAACATTTAGAGATAAAATATTTAATTAGAATATCATAAAAAAATTTTTAAAAATTAAAACAATAAAAATAAATTTTTTATTAATTTTAAAATTTATGATTTTTTTATAATTACTTTTTATTATACTAGTTTATAAATAATTTTAACAAAATTTTTTCTTTAATTTTTCATCAATTTTCACGAAAATATACTTTCGAAAAATCATAAGAAGTGTTATGAACGATGGATATTAAAAAACTTGTAAGAAAGCTAGCTATTTTGGTAATTTCACTTGTAAAACTTTTTTAAAAAATGAGATATATTTAGAAAAAAAAAGTATAATATTTTTATAACTCTTAATTTTTTACATTTAATTTACAAATTTCTTTTACATTTTTAACATAGATATACGATAAATAGATGTGCTTATGGATCGAATTGGATTGGGTTCGAGCCGGGCTCATACTTATATTAATAGCTTATATGTTTTTGTTACACTCATTTATAAATAATTTTAACAAAATTCTTATTTTTGTAAATTTTCATAAAATTTTACGAAAATGCATTTTTGAGAAGCCATAAAAAATATTATGAATGAAGGATATTCAAAATTTTATAAAAAAAAAGTATTTAAGCAATTTTACTTATAAATTTTTTTTAAAAAAATAAGGTGTATTTTTAAAAAATGTACAGTGTATTTAAAACTCTCATTTTTTTTTTACATTTAATTTACAAATTTCTTTTACATATTTAACCTAGATATACAACAAATAGAGGTGTGAATGGATCAAGTAGAGTCAGGTTTGAGTTGAGCTTATACTTGATATTAATAGTTTATATGCTTTTTTTGAGTTCGATTTAACTTAAAATTTCGGATCTCAAAATTTTTTAAAGTCTAACCCAAATTAAAAAAATAAAATTTAAGCCCACTATTAAACTTAATTTATATAATAAAAATTAAAAAAATGATTAAATTAAATTTAATGAGATTATATTTAATTTACGTATATATAAATTAAAAATAAAAATTATATATGTAAAAAATAAAAATAAAAATTTAATAAAAATATATATTTTTTAATTTATATATGTGAATTAATTTATATATAATTCATATATATATATAAAATTTATATATATATATATATAAATTTAGATTAGACCAGACATAGTTTTAGTTTTAAATTTTTTATTCAAAATTTGATCTAAAATTTATATTCGAATATATTTAATGAGTTCTTTTTTATTTAAATCATTTCAAACAAAATTTTAAATTTAAACTAAATAGTTTTTACCTTAAACAGGGCTAACGACAAACCATCTCCATTTTTTTGGTTGACTTTTTAAAAAATAAAATGTTCAAATATTCAACTCGAGATTTTAGAAGCAGCAGCGATACACAGGACAAAAGGTGGTTCTCCATCAACATATTCTCATATTCAACATAAATAAGAAAAAAACAAAAGAGAGAAAGCAACAATCAGGGGTACACCAACCAAGGGATCTACTTCCTCTTTGGCCTCAAAGGGGATGTATTTTGTAAAACAACAAAACGGCATCTCAACCATACACGTATGCCAGGCCAATAAGTATTAGTGCTGCAAATCCAATAAGCCGATTTTGTGCCACGTGACATGTACCGAATCCATATGTATTTATTCATCTGTCTTCCCTTTTGTCGTGTTCGAAGAGATGAGGTGGCATGTAAACCAGCAGCCAACTGATAAATTTCCTTCCATGGAGAAGCATACAATGAAGCAAGAGAAGGCACCAGTTTATCCTAGTACTTCTTCAGTTGGTTCTTCATAAACACTTAAGAGGACCCGAACTCAATGGCTTCTGGAAGACTCGGATTACTGGCATTCCATCATCATCATCATTACTAACTCTCCATGACCGATCCTTCTTCCTTGGGGGCTTTTTGTGGTGTTTATGGGATGCGTTTGACTTCTTAACTGTTGCCCTCTGGGAAGCAAGTCCATTGGCCAGATCAAAGGAGCTAAGATCATCCAGTACATGCTCTGGCACAGGTGTAGTTTCACGTTCATTTTCCAAAGAATCTTCAACATCAGATGCATCTGAATTGGGAAGTTCAGACACGCTTCGTTTCCCATAGTATTCCACGCTACCTTCATCAGGTATCCCAGGTGGTATTTCATAGTGGCCAGCTTTCCACCAATGTAATCCTTCAAAATTTGGCGGGCTGCTCTAGTTTCGACTGGTATTCCACTAGAGGCAACATACCCACGTGAAGCACAATAAGCTCTCAAAAATTCTGAGGCCTGAGGAGGCCGAGACTGTATTTCATATGGCTTGGGTTTTTGTAAGTTAATTTTGCATACATCCTCGATCAATAATGTGCCTTTGGATTCTGTTAGCAACAACTTGCACAGCCTCCCTCTGCTCTGTCATCTTTTCAATGGCAACACCCCTGACGCAATCATCTCATATCTTGAGCTTGAGAAAGATGGAAACACCAATCCAGGACAATCACATAGAGTCAGCTCATCAGAAATTATTAATGTCTGGAAATGCTTTGTCTTCCCTGGAGTGGAGGTAACACAGGCACGTTTCTGGCCTAACAAAGCATTTATAGTTGAGCTTTTACCAACATTAGGATACCCCACAAAGCCCTCCACTACATTATTTGGTGCTGAAGTTCCTTCAGCATTGCCACTAGGAGATTGAATATTGGATGACCTGGAGGTACTGCAGCCTGATTTTCTCATTTTGACTATTTCTTCTGCTTTAGACTGTAAACGGGCCAAGAGCTTCTCCCTCGCATATACTTTTGTGTCAGGATCATCACTCTTTTGCATGCTATTTTTTGTCTTCCAAGGGTCAGTGAGCAATTTTCCTTCTAATGCAGCAGAATCAGCTTAGCAGACCAGAACACAAAGGGAATCTTATGAAAACAAAAAAATTTTGCCCATTTTCCCCTAATAGAATAGAGGCAATAAAAATTGTAAGGGGTTGAAAACTGGAAATCAATCCACGGCAGAGCAAACATTTAGAATTGACACTAACCTGATAGAAACTGGCAGAAGAACTGCCTTGTTTACAATAAGCAATGTTCTCTTATGCTCATCAATCTCTCTTGCATATGCCTAGATGTAAAAAAGGAATGGTTTGAAACGAATTTGTCAGCAACGCAGGTACTAACCATCCCATTAAATAGTACAAAAATACACAAATAAACTATCATCATCATCATGATATACAATGGAAATAATGCATGATGCTCTCCAATATTGGACCTAATTTTGCACATGAAGATAAACAATAGATTCTTGGCATTAACCAGATCTTCAAATTTGAAGAGAGTTATCATTCTAGCATCAAGAAGCAGCTAATGCACCATCAATAAATTGCCTCACACCTCCTCTTTTTAACAAATAATTGCATTTGTCTCAGGATATTCATTAAATAAAATTGGCAGAAGCTCCACCTATCTCCAGCTACTTTAGCACTATTTAAAGAGCAACATATTCCGGACAAGAGAAATATTATATAATGTTATTACCTCAAGATCAAGACAGTTGCAAAACAGAGGGACACTTGCATCAACAACCATAACAAGCTGACAGAATACAATGTTATCAGAATATCAGTAAGGCGGTTATCATAGCTTGTAAAAGGCACAAGGAAAATAAAGAAAGAAAAGGCATGACTGAATTACAAAAATGAAGAGAGAAAAAACCCTCAAAATCACATGCTTTTAGTTCATATTTTTGCTTCAAACAAGCGTAAATCTTTTCTTATTCAATAAGAAATCTAAAATAATGTTGTAAGTCAAGACAGGCATCCCAACCCCCTCCTTCCTTCCCTTCACGCTTGCCCACCCTCTTCTTCTTTCTTCCTTGCCCATATATCTTGTGCTAATGCGCACATCGTTAAAAGGGTCCCTCTTGGCTTACTTAAGTGCCTTGTTGTCATTTAGAATAATTAAACAAGAGTAATATTGTCCAAGTGTGACTTCTTGTTGGAGATAAGAAATAGGGGGAGAATATATGATAATTGATAATGCTTGACCTTTATGTTAACAAACATTAATGTGAATTTATAACTATGTTTAGAAATTAGAGGCTTGCTTCACTTAAGTAAGCTTCTTTTTCTTTTTTTTCTTTTGCATGTGGCATCTCTGGTCTGGAGGGTTAATTCTGCCTCATTCCAAGACAACACTGCTTTAAGAAAATCAATCTAATACAACTTCTTTGGGTCCATCATAAATGTACCAACAAGTATAGTGTAGAAAGTTATTTACGTTTTATCTTCAAAAATAAGAAATTTTTACGTTACGGGAGACAAAGATCTTACGAAATCACTGTTGCGCCTGAAGCAATAATCACAACAATACAGAAGTAATAGATAACAATCAATATTCAAAGACACGAAAAAAATAAAGCACACCAAAATTTACATGAAAAACCCTTCAGTGTAAGGAAAAAAAATCACGGACCACCAGAAAAATCTTCACTATCAAATAATAGGTATACAAAATTCTTCTCTAGCTAAAATTAGAGTTAAACAATAACTAAAGAAAACAATCGGAGAAATCTCATCAAATAAGTGACTCAACAAATACACTTTGGATTTGTTCCTAGAGAGCTTCAAATCGGATCTTCACCGTTCAGAATGTAGAACTCTGAACTATAAACCTCATGACAAGGTTTCAACTCAATCGGATCACGGATCGACTTTCGTTCAACCAACTCTCCCTTCTCCTTTTTCTCTCTATTTTTTCTGGCTTTTCTTCTTTCTCTACTTGATTTTCGACACACACTTAAAACAACCCCACCTCTTTTTTATTAAGTAGCTAGGGCTCTGTGTAAAATGAAAGATCAAGACCCATGGCCTTTACTTGATCCAAAACCACTTACATGAGGTTTTACCCCATTTTCCTAACAATCACTGCATTCAAGAACTCGCCAAAGCCGCCTCCGGATCCAAGTTCTTCTCAAATGGAGTAAGACCAAGCTTCTCATTCTCCTTAAGTCTGAAATAAATAAAAGGGAATGAGAACACAATTAAGCCAACTCTCTAGATGTCAATAAGTGCAAATATCAAAGTACAACGCATGATGAGTCAATCCTATAATAAAATGTTCTCCATGTGAACAGGCTCATTAAGTATGCTTCTATTCAGACATGGCTCATGCGCTATCATCAACAGAAAAGGTAAAGGGGCAAGGATCTTTAAGCCAATGTTGAACAATACCTGTAATTGAACTACTAACTTTCCATATAAAACATCAAATCATTTAGAGATGACGACAAATTCGTGTCAAGTTGTTTTGAGTTTGGTATAGCTGGCAGAGTAAATATTTACTTTGTCTGACCTCGTTGGAGGCTGAATTTGGACGTATCACAGAATATATCCTTGACGATGTTGATCAAGATGTCTTGTGCAGTTGCATATTTATTATTACAGTCTTGATCACATAATTTGTCATTGACCTCTTTTAACTGATTCAAAAGAAGATAATGTTCATATCATTCATAGCCTAACCTTGCCAAACTCCTGCGCCAAACTAAGAAAGATTGTTTCACATTGGCATCTAGCTCTTCAACAGACATTCCAGTATTCCATGGCCTATATTAAAAACACTTCATATTCAAATCATATATACAAAACTTGCTTTAAGTTTGGGGACAACAATAAGACATGCCTGCGTGGAACTCGGAGACTACTAGCATGCAGTTCCTCCTCTTTCTTCTGTTGCTCTCAACTGTCTTCAGGTGTCATATCACTGGTACTTGAGCTCCTGTCCCTAATCACAAACAGCAGGGTAGTTTTTTTAGAATTCACAGAAAAAAAAAAAAGAATAAAACCCAAAAAGACAACCAACCAATTATTCAAAAGACGGCATATATCCATTTTACGTATCCCAAATATGGGTTTATTTTCTTTTATTTATGTTTGGTAATAGTATATATTTTAGTGTGTCTATTTCGCATACAACTGCAAGAATCTTTTATGCAAGAAATTCCATCTTGACTTTCATCCAATTAAACATCACCTTCAGGTGATACAATCAAATAACTTCCCTATATCTAACTGAATTACCTAACCGCAATCCCAAACTGATCTCTCTTCTCCTCTCCTCACCATCTACTAAATTGCATTCTTGTTAATCTCGTTTCTTTTTACTTTGATCATCAATGGCTGCAGTGGACCAAGAAATTGATAAAACACTGAGCCAAATCATTGAGAAGCTCTCACAGACTGAGCAATACCTTGACCAACTCGTTCAACAACACATTGCCAAACGTGCCAAAGTGCTTCAAAACTTGAAGGAGTCAGTGGAACTAATGAATGCAAGTCAAGAAGTTTTGAAGAGGGAGTTTTATGAGTTGCTGACACCATTCTGTCAATGGAACGATGGCAATATTCACAACCCTGATCTTTCTCAGTTAAAAGATGAGGTTCTTAGAGTGATTGGAACCAAAGGAAATGATGAATTGGTGGGCTTAGTTGAAGGTCTTGAAGGGTTCAAGAAAAGGGTAGATGGAACCAATGAAAGGGTCATTCAGTTGATGAGGGTTTTGAACATAGTGCCAACTTGCAGTGGGATTAAAGAGAGTCATAAAAGGAAAATACCTCTCCGTCTTTCAAGTCCTGCTAATTTTTCTCAAGAAGTTGGAGAAGAGAAGAGTGAATTAGGAGTCAAGAGAAAAGAAAGAGGGCTTTGGAGAGTGAGAGATGTTGCTATTCACATGTATGGATTTGAAAATGACATCGCATTGGACATAGAAGAATCTTTAGGGCAAAGAAAGCAGATCCAGAATGAGATGCTATTTAATCTGGATGAGGCTGCAATAACGTTTGATATTGAAGATTCGGAAGACGATGATGAATGGAAGGAAAAAGATTCAATGGAACTGAACTGGGTTGAAGTAAAAAAACTGAAGAAGAAATTTGAGGAGTTGAAGAAGAAAATATACGAAAAGCAAGAAATTGATCTTAATGTTGAACCAAAAGACTCAGGTGATGGTGATGAAGATCCAAAGAGTCTGACAGTACAATTTCAGAGAGTGATGAGGAATTGGATTTTCCACATTGAATCTGTCTTGTTTAAGTTCATCATCTCTGAGCTTTACCAAATGTTGCCTGGCAATGAAAAAGCAGAGACCATTTTCGAAGACTTCAAGTCTAAGCTGAAAAATATGACGGAAATCAATCGTGGGATGGTACCCATTACAGTCCATAAGATCATTTACATGATGGAAAATCCAACAGAATTGAAGCAACATGGAGTGGAGATAAGGACACCAACGGTGTCTGAAATTGGCAGGAAAGGGTTACATGAAGGGATCATATTGAATGAAGTGATGGACCAAGTTCATGAGATAATCTTACGTTTCGGGTCAGTGCTGGCTTCTTTTGGTCTTTCCTACACGCATATGATAAGGGAGGATGAATTAGCTTCATATGAAGATGTGCTTAAACAATCTGAAGAGGAAGTGAGAGAGATCGAACGGAAGATCTATTGGGGAAACTTGGAATTTCAATTTAATAAATTGCATATATAGCTGAATGAAACATACAAGGAAATAAGGAACAGAAAGAGTGATTCTTTGTAAGGAAATTAGATATCATAAGAAGGGAGTCAAATGAAGTTGAAAATGTCAGAGAGGTAGCCTTAGTTGATACAAATTAGAGTTTTCTTGCTTATAGCTTAGTGGTTGATTTGTCGAGATTTCATTTCTTCATTTACTTCCTCGTTTTTCTCTGTCTGGATTTGAACATATGCCTCCCTACCGAATTTTGAGTGGGGAAACTTCATATCAACATTACGGTTGATTTTTTTCTATTTTTTTGACGTTCATTTCAGAAATTAGATCTGTCTAGCTGCACTGATAGGACATGGAAAATTTTATTAATATAATAGTTAAACTATAAATGAGGGAAATTGTTATCAATTTTAATTATTGGATTAACAAGTTTTTAATATTCACCATTTCCATTATTCCTATTAAGCCTGACGGACAATTTGGATGAATGATGGAGTTTTTTGATAGATTTTACGATTCGTATATTCATATTGTATAAAATATTAAAATTCATATATTTATATCATAATTTACATAAAAATTACAGTATCATAATTTATATCGACATGAATATGAAATATGTTTTTTAGATTTTATTAAACGCATATATAATAATTATTAAAATTTTAAATCGTATCATCTTTGTATTATATTTATGTCAATATCACTTTATCGTATTTTAAATTATCATATTTATCTTTACTATTTGTAATTTATAACTGGACCTAATGAGAAAACCAATATCTTTTTATCACTCCAACTAAAAGCAAATTAAGAACTCTTATGTATGAATTTGCTACACTCGTCTAGAATCTAGATACATTGCCATAGAATTAAGTAGAAAAGTTATCGTTGTTTTGTTTGACTGATTTCTTAAAAATTAAAGAGAATATACAGCGTAATTGAAGAATCTGAAAAAATAAAAGGTGGTCAGTTGATTAAAGTAAGCTTATCAGACTGTGGGCAGGTAGAGATTGGTATTGTGCAAAGTTCTTGTTCCTGTAATGGAGATTGCTAATTTGATTGTATTATAGAGAATTTCCATCATAAATGAAGGAAATAAAGGTGTTCAGTTGATGAGAAACTGATCATTTCCATCAAGACCGAATTTGTTTTTGAATATATTTAATTACATATATTGTAAATAAAATATAATTTATAAAATAGTCTAAAATTATATATATATTTATAAAATGATTTTTTTAGCACAAGATGAACTTAACTAGTGATTGATTTTTAAAAAGGAAATTGCCTTTGTTGCTTAAATATTTTCGAGAAACTGATTAATTTATCCTATCAAGAATAACAATACAGTGCTCAATTTCGAATAAGAAAATAATTTTTTTAAAGATTTAAATAAGCTTTTATTATTGTTTTCTAGTTATTGTCATTTTGTTAATTCCGATTTTGTTTTAAATGCAAAAGTATATATATATATATATATATATTATTATATTTAAAAACATTCAAAAATGATTTGGGTTGTCTGAATAGAGATTATTGTATTTATTTCACGTTGATAGATTAATAAAGTTATTTTAATTTGAATTAAATTTGGTTAACGCTAAAGCTTATATATAAATATATAAAAATCAAAGTCTCTAACAAAAAAGAAAATAATTTGATGTGAATAATTTACATTTTCGACATATGAACAATCTAAAAAATTGACATATATTTAAAATTAATTATGCATTTCAAATTTAAAATTTAATGATAAAATAAATTTAATTTAAAATATCTTATTTTCATTATTATAAAACATATTTAATGATTTTTATTAACATTTATTTTTAAATATTTAATTAAATAAAATAAATTAAAAATAAAATCAAGAATAATAATATCTTAAATTGAGAGTAATTTATGCTTGATAATTAAAATAATCTAAGTATAATATGCATACAGTACACTCGGAATAAATGAAAAAAAAGATTTTAAAATTAATGTAATAATGATAAAAAAATTAAATTTTTATTAAATGATAGTTTTTATACATTTCATAAATTACTCTCATTACTTCTGTTTTTAGTTTTTAGCCAACTTATTTTAATAAATATTAAATATCTTGAATACCTTACTAATCTTTATCTTATATAAATATATAAAAATCAAAACTTTTGACAAAAAGAAAATATTCAATGTGAAAGTTTTTTTTTTTAATGTGTACAATTATAAATAAATATCATGTGTTATCTAATAAATATATTTTTTATTTGATTTGATGCATTTTTAATTTAAAAAATTAATATGCTTGTTAATAAAATATTTTAATTTTATTATTTAGTGGTTAATTGATATAAATTGAATTAAAAGAAACATAATAATATCATATTAAATTTAATTAATTAAAATAATTTTATAAAAAAAAAATTTCGTGCTTCCCACTGGTCAAAAACTAGTTAATGAGTAATTATATCGATATTGATTTTAATAATTATCTAATCAAATCATATGATTTTAATTAAATACGATTTCAATATTAATTATGAAATGAGTTTATAAATACTAACAAAAATAAACCCTCACTCTCCCTATCTGAACAAATAATAAGTCGATTTTTTTTGTTTTTTTTAAGAAAAATTCAAAAGCAAATAGCTTGTTTAATATTTCAAATTAGGATAATATATGTTTTATTTATATTACAAATCGTGCATTTGATATATAAAATTTAAATATACAAATGATTATAAATTATGTATATTCGATATGATTTTATTATTAATAAAATTTAAATATAAAATTTTTTTATTAAAAAAGATAAATTTTAATCAATTAATTTATTAAATTATATAATTTGTGCCGTAACAAAAAGGTTGAGAATAGTCGTATTTCTTTCTTTTTTGGCTATCATCGGGTAATACACGACGAAAGCTTTTAATTGAGGTGACAAACTTTCACCTGCATTCAAGTCAGATTTTATTTTAATTTAATTGCACATTAGTGATTTAAGTCAAATCTGACACGAGAAGATTGAAAGGGAGATCGGAGGGCTTGTTTTGTGTTATTTTACGTTTTTTTTT